CTGGTACTAATTAAGAGTTATTCTTGTTACAGACCAAGGAGATTATATACACAGCACTTTGAGCATTCTCAACTTTTAGTTCTTGTGAGATAAGGGGATCAGAGCATTACCTACGGGCAGGAACTCCTGTTCCTTGTTAACTTGGACCCAAAGACCTAGCAAAATCTGTAAACTTACCAGTCTCTCTAAAGAAGTCATGGGCTCAGGGGATGGATGGCACAGTGTTAGGTACACTTGCTGTGTAAGCATGAGGACCTTAGTTCGTATCCCCAGCACCCATGTAAAACACCAGGTAACCCCAGCATTGGGAGTGGGAGTGCTAAGAAAGGATGATCATTGAGGTTTCCCAGCCACTGCTTAGCTGGCATGTCAGAGGACTAAGTTGAAGGAGGTCACTTAATACCTGGTAGAATGTAGACTTTGATCATGTAATGTTCTGTGAAAATGGGTGGCTGATGGGCCTTAGTACAATAATGATCTGATACAGTAGGACCACCCAAAGTCCTCTGGCTTCTGGGTGCTGCATGCACCACACCCCACTCTCACCCTGTCTCCCATACACAGGTGATGACTGCCAATCCATTGTTAGAAATGCCACACACACAAAGATGTCAAAGTCAGTATCCTTTGACCCAAGGTTTAGTGTCTTCGGTGTTTATTTTTCCATGTGTGCTATGAGACAAATGCTGGCAGATACTTGGAAGTACTTGGAGGAAGCTGTATCATGTGTTCAGATTTTAGCTGAGAGACTAGAGGAATCCAATAAAGCCCATCCAAGATAGATGCCGGAAGATGTAGCTGAGCCTCTTAGAGAGGGTCTGTTGCTAAGACTGACTCTAGTCACAAATAAAATTGGTTTCCGGGTGGCAGGCACTTTTAACTCTGGCACCCATGGACTAAGGCAGAAAAACCATGAGTTGGAAACTAGCTTAGGCTACAGTGTAAGTTCCAGGCCAATGTAGACGCAGTAAAACCTTGTCCCAAAAAACAAAAAATGTAGCCGGGCGGTGGTGGCGCACACCTTTAATCCCAGCACTCTGGAGGCAGAGGCAGGTGCATCTCTGTGAGTTCAAGGCCGACTTGGACTACAGAGCAAGTTCCAGGAAGGGTGCAAAGCTACACAGAGAAACCCTGTCTCGAAAAACAAAAAACAAACAAACAAACAAACAAAATGTAATATTAGTATGAGTTTGTCTATTCTTGCAGTTATACTTTACTGTTTATCATTTTGAGACATGGCCTCAGCTCTGTACCCCAGCCTGGCCTTGTACTCCCTGTATAGTCCAATCTGACCTAGAGTTTGAAATCTTCCTGCCTCTATCTCCCTGGTCCTGGGATTAGAGACATATACCATTATACCTGGTTGTTTATCTGAACTTTTTATAGTCATGTTCCTTGTACATTTTTACCAACTACAGTATGGCAACTTGGTACTTGTGTTTGGTAAACCAGGGCTGTGAACATTTCCATTCTTTCAGACATCGACCTTTTCTTTTTTTTTTTTCTCTTCTAGGTAGTGCTGGATTCTGGACCCAATTATTTTTTCATGTGTTTCAGACTTTCGTTCTTTTCTTTTTCAGTCATTCTGAAAATGCAGCTTGTTTGGAAACAGCATTAACTTAGCTTGCATACTAATGAATGAACAACTAAGAGTAATTCTGACACGGAGCAAAAGTGACCACAAAAAGTAACCAGGAGGATCAGACCTGAACAAAAAATTGTCATTTAAGAAACTTAGGTCATAGAAATTAAGTTTAAAAACAAAAATAAACAGAAAACCCACTATGCCTGTGATTAATCTGTTACTGATCTTCCCATAACCTATATCCTTTTGAAATAATATTGGTGGTGGTGAGGGTATAGTTTTCACTTAGTATGTATGGAAAGCATGTCTGCTTTTATCAAGAGGGTCTGATTTTTTTTTTTAACTTTTATGCTTTAACCATTTATCATTTGACTTCAGTGACTTTCTCTGTGTGCTAGTTTTATCACTGGTTCTTCTAGTGGAGTCTGTGAGATATTGAGGAGGCTACTTTGCACTGTCTCAGTCCTTTCTTAGTATTGGAGGTGTTTCTGGACTTTTGAGAAGTAAAATTTATGTAGGGACTTGCACTTCTTATCTGTGTTACATGAGGAAAAACAGTCCATGATTTAACTACTCTGCTTTTCAGAGTGAAATTCCTTTCTGTGCAGTTAATATGTCATCTAACTTCTTGTTATGTGAGTGAAAGATTTTAAAAATAATGTCCAGGCTTTATATTCTCCCACTGGAAAGGCTGATTGGCTGGTATCTTATCCTCCACCTGTGAAATTAGTGTCCTTTGAGATATTTCATACTCATGTAAGAAGAAGCCTTACTTAGAAATTTTTTAAAATGCAGATTAAAAGTCTGGCAGTGGTGGTGCATGCCTTTAATCTGAGCCCTCAGGAGGCAGAGGCAGGGGGATCTGAGTTTGAGGCCAAGCCTAGTCTACAGAGTAAGTTCAGAACATCTAGGGCTACACAGAGAAACCCTGCCTCAAAAAACAAAAACAAAACAAAGCAAATATAGGTTAGAGAACCCTCATATAAGACATTAGGCCAGAGACTAGCATAAGACCAGCATTCTGTTCTTGAAGCTGCTCTTTAAATAAGACCCCAAAGGGGGTTGTTTGATTGATACGTTGTAGAGTGGACCAAGCACTGTGGTCTAGTCAGAAAATGATTTCAAAATAGAGCATGGCCATTTCAATGAACTCGGTTAAATTGTCACTTAACACTCACTCTAGTAGTAACATTCATTGTCCTTAAAAAGGAACTAAAAACGAAACAAGCTGTTTGTGAATTCTTATACAGCTGATAAGAATGATAGTTGTAAACTGCCATGTTAATGTTTCTTTTCAGTTTGACTCTTACTAATTAACTTCAGTTGCCGAACCTACTTCTTCTTTGGGATGCCCATTGGGTTTAAGGAAAATTATATGAGCTGGAATTAGGAGGTCCAGGGGTCAAACAGCATGTGCTGTGTCTCTGCTTTGCTTCCTTAATGTGGTGATATTTTATTTGTTAGAACATGGTGATATTTTGTGTTCTAACAAATAAAATATCACCACACCTTAATACAAAAATGAAAGTAGCAGACATTACCGTCTGATACTCTTAAAGATCTGAGGAGATTGTGTGCTTCTGGCTGCTTTCGTTCTTAGAGAAAGTGAAATCAGAGCATCTGGTTCAGATGCTTGACCACTAAGATGCTGGGGAGACTGTTTCTATGTGTGGAAATGTCCCTTTCTCTATCCTTACTAGTAAGTTTCTGGGTCTTGGTGTTCAAGTTCTGTTCTTTTTAAGTACTGACTCTAGTCTTCAATTTCAGTGTCCTTGGTACTGTTCAGATTCCATGGGCCAGTTCTTTCGATACCTCAAGTATGGTTTTAGTTATACTTTAAAAGTAACACAGCATGGCTGTCAATTAAATATCTCATCTGGCATGGTGATGCCTTGCTAGATATAGCAATTGCTTGTCAAACTATAGAGTCTATAGATTATTGAACCCTTCAGAACTAAACTCTCTTTCAAAGTAGGATCACAAGTTGATTTACAGTGTGCAGTACAAGTATCAAATGCCATTTTCTCCCTGTGAAGAATTTACAGATTATTAATTACTAAATTTTTTTCTTTAAAAAAAAAAAGTATGTCTGTGTGTGTGCATGCAAGTGTATGTCTGTTGGGATGTGTGTGTGTGGGTGCAGGTGCCCAAGAAGGTCAGAAGTATCACATTGCCTGGAACTGGAGTTATAGGCAGTTGTGAGCTACCCAGTTTAGGTGCTGAGAACTGATCCTAGGTCCTCTCCATGAGCAGTAAGTGCCCTTAAACAGCCCATCCCTCCTACCATCTACATAGATTCTGAGTGAGGGGAGATGAACTTTGTGTTACCAATTTGTTACACATTCTAATGTATATATCCTCTCTGCAGAAATATGTTTGGTATATGAATTAGACTTCTGTTGATATTATGGCACATGATGATGGAAAGCTATAAAATATATTGTCTTATTTAAAGAGCACCATTTCACTAGGTTCCAATTTGACACTTAACATTTTTCTTTAGAATATGTATGTGTATTTGTGTTTGTGTGTATATGTTCAGATAAATGGGGTTAAACTTTTGATTTTTTTATAATCAGGATTTTATTGGTTTTGATGCTTGACATCTCTTGATTAGTGATTGCCTTCTGCAGAAAATGGATTTTATTTTCCCAAATAAGGCTATTTTTTCATTTTATTCACAGTGGATATGTCTTTTGGAGGGATTGAAGAAGGTCCTGACTGAAGCCCTAAAATTGCTAATAAAATTATTAACCTTTAGAGTCATATGATGAAAATCTGAATGTATTATAATGTGACTTGTGTAATTTTTAAAAAAAAAATTCTTTAATGTATGTGCCCATGTTTCCTCATATGTGATGGGATTAATGTAATAGTTCCATAGATAATCAATGCTGACATGATTTTATGTGTAAATTGAAGATTACTTTAGAACAATATATACGGCTTTGTAACCTAGTATCATTTTGTATGTAATTGCTGTTGTTCCTGCAGTGTGCTTTTGCCTGAGTAGGGAATTTAATCTCCCTTTCTGGATTTATTGAATTAGATGACATCCTGTTTTCTAATTACTCTCTTTGCCCCAAATTATTTAGGGTACTGTTCATAATAATCCATATGTAAGGGCTAACTGACTCTGGTATGTAAACTGAATTATTGCAAAAATTGTTATTGATTTCAGACTATTGACAAATATACGGACCAGTTAAAATTGGTCAGTTTATAGGAATAAAAGATTGGGTTTTTATTTCTCCTTTTCATAATTTGAAAATACTGAATGTATTAGACACAAAACCACATATATGCTCTAAAGAAAAAAAACAAGTGTCAATTTAGTACTTTACAGATTTGTAAATTATAACATGCAAATATGAAATCATTGATTTCAGAAATTGGCTTATTTTGGTGTACTTAGGAAGGCGACATGCCAATCCACGAGCTTCTCAGCCTCTATGGTTATGACAGCACTGTTCGGTTACCTGAAGAAGATGAGGAGGATGAGGACGAGGAGGAGGAAGGTGAAGATGATGAAGATGCTGATAATGATGACAATAGTGGCTGTAGTGGGGAAAATAAAGTAAGTTAGTGCTCGTTCGGTGTTTTATCTTCTTCGTGGAACATTTATGTTCCAAAATTCCTGTTGTATTTGTGAAACCACAGATAATACTAAGCTCTAAATATAATTTTGTATAGTAAGATTAAATTTCAAAAATAAAAAGTAGGAAATGTGTGATATAAAAATTGAAAATTCCTTGTAATTCACTCCAGTGAGATAAATTTGATCTGTTTCATTCCAGATTTCTTTTTGCTTTTTCTGAATAGTACCAACTTTAAAAAAAAAAAAAAAAAAAATGCTGTTTTAAATTAAATAGGCTGCCTGGCAGTTTTGTATTCATTTTTTAAAAATTATTTTAGATACAAGAGTGTTATACTGCTTTCCTAATATTAATACCCAGTGTAACTCAATATCTGTTGTAGAATGTTATTTTAAGGTGTGTTACTTTTGTTTATGTTGCATTTGTTTAACTCTGTGAAGCTATGTTACTGTGCCTGTCTAAAACGCCTGATTGTCTCATAAAGAACTGAACGGTCAATAGCAAGGAAGGAGAAAGGATAAGTGGGGTTGGCAGGCAGAGAGGATATATAGAAGGAGAAATCTGAGGAGAAGGAAGGAGGAGGACTCCAGGGGCCAACCACCCAGCTGCACAGCCAGCCACTGAGTAAGGGTAAGATTTACAGAAGTAAGAGAATGGGAAAAGCCCCGAGGCCAAAGATAGATGGGATAATTTAAGATAAGAAAAGGTGTCAAGAAACAAACCAAACTAAGGCCAGGCATTTATAATTAAGAATAAACCTTCATGTGTGATTTATTTGGGAGCTGGGTGGCAGGCCCCCCAAAAGAGCAAAAACAATAACAGCAACAAATGTCTTTACCAAAACTAGCCCTACTAAGTGCCCTTAGCTAAACTCTAAATGGCTGGGACTTCAGCTCCAAGGTTTTATCCCAGTTCCAAGAACTAACCCAGGAAATCACATTTCATTTGGTGGGTTTATTATGATCTTATAGCTACCTCTAAAACACAATTTGACTAATGGCCTACAACAGTATTCCTCATATTGTAAGTACATTTTCTTATTCTATAGGAAGAGAATATAAAGGATTCATCGGGTCAGGAGGATGAAACTCAGTCTTCCAATGATGATCCATCACAGTCTGTTACTTCCCAAGATGCTCAGGAAATAATTCGCCCACGTCGATGTAAATATTTTGATACAAGTATGTATTATCATTGTTATAGTTAGAATGTAATTTTCACTCTTTTATAATACCTGAAGTTCTAATGTGGTTTTATTGATACTTGAATTCACTTACTCTGAAATTGCTTTCAGAGGTAAATGGATTTTGTTAGGGGTTACTAGAATATTAAAATGAAGGTCCTGTTCTCAATGCATGTATCACAACATGTACTGCTTCATATACTGCCTAAATATGGATGTGTTCCTTTTATTTTGTGTAGTCTTGAAGTTTTTGCTTTCTACTTTTCTTTGTTTGACTTTGAACCATCTTTCATTATATTCATGTGTCACTCAGCAGCAGGGATATATTCTGAGAAACATGTTGTCAAGTTTATTGGTTGTGTGACTAATGTGGACACAGCACCTCAAGATCATACAATCTTGGCAGGGTCACCACCATCGTAAATAAATTGAGTCTGTTGACCAAAGATGACATCATGCAGTACATAACTATATATTTGTAATGTTGTCTTTTTTTTTTTTTTTTTGGTGTTTTGAGACAGGGTTTCTCTGTGTAGCTTTGCGCCTTTTCCTGGATCTCACTCTGTAGACCAGGCTGGCCTCGAACTCACAAAGATCCGCCTGGCTCTGCCTCCCGAGTGCTGGGATTAAAGGCGTGCGCCACCGCCGCCCGGCATGTAATGTTGTCTTTTATAATCTTGTGAGTCCTAGGTGCAAAAAGGTGGTCAGTTCTTGGGGTATGAATACATGCTAATATGGTTCCCCAGTTTCCACTGTGACGGGATGGCATGTGGAGGTCAGAGAACAACAGGAGTCAACTTTCCTCTTTCTACCTCAATGTAGTTCCTGAGAATCAAACTCTAGTAGATTCTTTACGTAGCTGAAGATGACCTTGAATTTCTAATCTTAATTTCTCCACCCCCCAAATGCTGGGATTACAGGCTTGTGCCACTCTTCCTTATCTCATGCAGTGCTGGGGGTTGAACCCAGTGCTTAGTGTGTGTTAGGCAAGCAGTCTGCCAGCCCTATAAATCATCCTCATTTGAATATAACCAAGCAACAGCTTGCCTGGCGTGGATAAAATAAAAATTGGGGAGAATAAAGGTTTTCAATATGTACCCAGACTTCTTATTTTCTTCCCCTACAATTTTGCTCCAAACTTCCAAGTTTTATTAGGAAAACGGTTTGGCCAACATTGCTCTAAGTCTTTGTTTTCTGTGTGAAGAACTTGATATCATGTGACTTACTTTGTAACCTGCATTAGTAAAAGATTATGTTGACACTAATCCTAAAGTTTTTATGTCCTTACAAAATCAACTGAGACTAGAGTTGCCCTAGGAGATTCATAGTTTTTCTTTTATTTGGGGAAATTTTTTGTTATTGTCTTGTTTTAGATACAGTGTTCATTATTTGATTTTAAATATCTTGGTCTGATTTAGCAGACCTTTTGGCATATCTAAATACTTGGTGGTAGGTATAAAAAAATACAAAGATATGGACAGGATAAATGTCCATTTTATAGTATCATTCTCTTACATATTCTAGATAGTGAAATAGAAGAAGAATCTGAAGAAGATGAAGATTATATTCCATCAGAAGACTGGAAAAAGGTATTTTTCCAAAACTTATGGTAATATTCTAAAAGCCAAAAATATTTTTAATGAATCATACTTATTGATGAAGTCAGTGCATTTACCTTTTTGTGACATTTAAGCATTTTGTAAATATTTGTTCAAGCTCCCCATTAATATATCCAACTAAGAAATACATTTATCTTTTCATAAAATGATAATGTGGGTAGAATCAGATTTTGCTGGTGTATTCATACTCAAACCAATATTAGAAATCCAAATTTCTAATCATCTAATCCTGAAGTGATAAATGTTGGTGTTACAGGTTGAGCTGCTCTACAAACGTACAACTAGTTTCTAAAATAAACTTGAGATATTAGGTTCTTTTTCGTTAAAATGTTACATAGCATTATTTAATTAACCACATAGGTTAGCGTTTGATTTTATGGTATTGCATAGGAGTTGAACCTCTTAGGAAATCATAGTACACACTGTGTGTAATTGGTTAAAGCAAATCATTTCTGTAGGACGATGTTTTCCTCAGTGAGAGATGATTGCCTGATCTTTCCTCTTTAAAAAAATAACACCCTTTGAGGTTTTTTTTTTTTACTTCTTCTCTTCCTGGGTTTTGTGTTATTTCATTATTTCAAGTGTATTTGTGTTTTGCCTGCATGTATATTTGTTCCTGTTGGAACATAGCAGCCAACCCAGAGCAGCTTTGATTACCATCAGGAGACTGTTGATGTGTCCTTATAGTAGGAGGACCTGGAATGAGTCATCAGAGATTGAACCATTACCTTCTGCACCTTCTTCCCTATTGTATGTAATTCTTTCCCATCTGGGGAGGTGCCAGAGTATGTAGTGTGGATGATTAACTGAAGGGGGAATTCCATGTATGAATCTATAGGGAGTAATTGTCTATTCTGGGGTGAAACTTAAAGAATGACTGTTTGCGATTCTTTGGTGGGTACAGGTGCATGTAAAGAGTCATAGGGATTGACAGCAGAGAGACTCTGTAGTGGACACCTGGGATGCGAGGTGTTTGGTCATTTAATGAGTTATGGATATTGTCATTGTTTATGATGGTTGGTTACAAGTTGTCAATTGTTAATGGTCAGGAAAAAAGCTGAACATGGAGATTAGATTCAGAGATTTTGTTTAAGAAAGAAAGAAAAAAGAGAAAAGAATATAGATATGAGATAGATCACTGAATCTATTCTGAGAAAAAAGATAAAGAATAATAGGATAAATGGGTAGATCACTGATTCTACACTAAAAAGGAAAAGAGGAAGACATAAAAATGACAAAAAGTAGATTACTGAATCTATTATGAAAAGAAAAAATACTTTTAAAAAGGAATTACTTGTTTTAAATAAGAGAAGTAATGAAAATTTTTTGTCTGAATTTGTCAAATGTTACTGGACTGGACATTGTTATATACTAATGGAGTTTTTTGTCTGAATCTGTCAAATGTTAATGGACTAGACATCGTTAATGTAATCTTGACTGTGTATATTGTATATACTTATTGTACATAATTTTTCTTGTATTATTATAAGCTTTTTTAAATTTTAGACAAAAAGAGGAAATGTGGTGGTATTGTGTTCCCCAAAATATTGTGCACCCTAATAAACTTATCTGGGGTCAGAGACAGAACAGCCACTAGATACAAAGGCTAGAAAATGGTGGCACTCACACCCTTAATCCTAGCACTCCAGAGGTAGAAATCCCTCTGGATCTCTGTGAGTTCAAGGCCACATTGGAAACGGCCAGGCATGGTGACACATGCCTTTAATCCCAGAAAGTGAGCCTTTAATCCCAGGGAGTGATGGTAGAAAGCAGAAAGGTATATAAGGCGTGAGGACCAGAAACTAGAAGCATTTGGCTGGTTAAGCTTTCAGGCTTCTAGCAGCACAGTTCAGCTGAGAGCCATTTGGATATGAGGACACAGAAGCTTCCAGTCTGAGGAAACAAGACCAGCTGAGAAGTTGGCCAGGTGAGGTTAGCTGTGGCTTGTTCTGTCTCTCTGATCTTCCAGTGTTCACCGCAATAACTGGCCTCAGGTTTGATTTTATTAATAAGAACTTTTAAGATACATGCTACAGACACCATTCAAAGAATGCCAAACAATGTATTGTTTATATTACATTTTACCCATTATTATTAATATTTCCCATCCAGTCATATGTAAGCTCCTAGCTATTATTAACTCATTCATCCTCACAATACTACCATGAGGTAGGTAATTGGTTTTATGACAAAGAGGCCAGAGTGAGTTTACCCAAGAAGATAGTGAAGCTAGACATGAGCAATAAGATTTGTATCACTAGATATTTTTGGTTGTGTTTAAAATAGGAAATCATGGTGGGCTCCATGTTTCAAGCTGAGATTCCAGTTGGCGTTTGTAGATACAAAGAAAATGAAAAAGGTGAGTTATAGTAAGGTTTTATACCTGAACTTTTGCTATGATGGACTTATTTTGGGGGTGGTATGTGTTTGTGTCTAGGTACACTTACTGTTTATGGAAGCCAGAGTCCATGTTGGGTTCCTTCCTCTTTTGGCCCTTCACCTTGACACACAGGATCTGTTTGGCTAGACCGGCTGGCCAGTGAGTGTGTCTTCTACCCCTTGTGCCTGGATTCCAGATGCCCACTGCTGCTCTGGAATTCACACAGGGTTCTGGGGGTCCAAGCCTGTGTTCTTGGTCTTAGGCAGCAGGCACTTCACCCCCTGAGCCATCTCCCAGCCCTGGCCTGTTAGTTTACATATAAGATATGGTAAGGACACAGCAGCCTACTAAACAACCCTAATGAAAGAAGCACATCATCAGAGCTGGTCACTCACTGTAAAAGAAGGGAGTCTGAAGGTATGCCTCTTAAAATATCCCAGCCATGTGTCTCTTTTAAGAAGAACATTTTTTAGCCGGGTGGTGGTGGCGTACGCCTTTAATCCCAGCACTCGGGAGGCAGAGCCAAGAGGATCTCTGTGAGTTCAAGGCCAGCCTGGGCTACCAAGTGAGTTCCAGGAAAAGGCGCAAAGCTACACAGAGAAACCCTGTCTGGGGTGGGGGGGAAAAAAGAAGAACATTTTTTTCCTACATTTTAAATGCTCTGAGCTTGATACTTTGTAACCTTTATAATAGATAACTTTTCAATAATGGCTTTAAAAACTAACTGATAAACTACTGGTTGTTTATTTGCTTCTCAAACTCAATACTACTAAAAAGGAATATTTTGTCATTTGTGTCTTAAAATAATTTGGGAGTAGTACTTGTATATTTAAATTTTACAAGTTTTATTTTAATCATTTTACATCAAAGTCCTAAAGCCAGTTATACATCTAATAATGTAAAATAAATAAGGATTTGTTTTTTTGAGTCAGTCTGTTTCACATTACCTATGTTAGGTGGGTTTTAAAAGGATGCATATGTGTCTTTAATGAGTTGTTCACATATAGTATGACATCGCTTGAAGCTAAAAGTTCTTTTCTTTTTCATTTTCTTCACATTACAGCTTAGAATTGGGAAGTCTTTTGTTGGTGGTGGTGGTAGCCAAATGTTTTCAGATCACTTGTCCTTGCCTCTAGCAAGCTTGCCCAGCTTAGCTCCTATAACACCAAAGTCGACCTTGTTCTGTACTGGAATTCTGTGTCTCTCTTATGTGTACCTTATTGTTGTGTTCAGAAAAAATATCTGTTGGCTTTTGTGTTTATAATTGAAATGTAAGTACTGTGTCTATGAAGTAGCAGGCCATGAGTTCTTTTGTCAGTAGGGAACTGAGAGGTAAACACTTGTTCCATTTTACTAGATGTCTTAAAATTTTTGGCTATAAGGAGGTAATGCCTATGTTTTGAAAGTTTCATATTAAGGGCTGAGGGTGAGGCTTAAAGGTAAACCAGCACTTATGTACCATGCTCAAAGCCGTGGGCTCACTCCCCAGCACCCAAGACAGGATTATGAGTCGATGGAAGGAAAACAGCACAGTTTTGTAGTACATTGCTGTCGTGATTGAAGGTTCATCTCTTCTTGTACTTTACCTTTTATTTTCATATCTGTAGTCAAATACCATAGTAAGTGAATTAAAATTTTTACTTTAAAAATATTGCCTATTCTGGCTTAATATTTTCATGATTTTAGAAGAGGGTTATGTATAATTTCTTTACAATAAGGTGCAATTTGATGATGAAGATTTTCATTGGTGCATTTTTCTTTTTGAGACAGGGTCTCACTTTGTAAACCAGGCTGGCCTTGAATTCAAAGAGATCCCTCTGCCTATGCCCCCTAAGTGCTGGGACTAAAGGTGTGTACCACCATGCCTGGCTTTTATTTGAGGACTTAAGTGCGAGATGGTGTAGGAAGACCAGACAGGATGTAGAAAGTGACATTTCTCTGAAGAAGTCAAGAATGTGAGCAGACTGTATTGTGTGAAGAAAAAGTTTAATTAATAATGGAAAAAGGAATTCTGACTTTAAATAAAACACAAAATTCATTTCTCTGTCTTGTCCCCTGTGAACACAAAGCAAATACCAGTATTATACAGCATACTGTTAAAAATAAAGTTTATAAAAAGATATTGCTGATTAGTGCATTTGTGTTGCCGAACCCTAGGGTGTTTTTCACCAGCTGGGTCAGAGAGAACATGTCTTACAGTGTTGAAACAATTCTAGTGTCTTGGTTGCGGGGTAGGTGCTGGGGTTCAGTTAAACCCTCTGAACCACATTCTGAGCTTTTATTTTGAAACACATCTCCATCTGTTATCTGGGCTGACCTGAAAATTGCTGTCTTCCTACTTGAAGCTGGGATTGCAGGTGTGTGCTGCCATGGCTGGCTCTGATGTCCTTATTGTAGGAGTCATTTAGAGATGGACCAGAGTTCTTTTCAGTGATTAAAGATTCCAGATGGATGACATATGTGTGTATGCCCTCTGATTTGGCTTTACTAGACTCAGGCCCGTTGTGTTCCCTCACTGGTTATCACTCCTGATGTAAACACTTAAATTTTAGAACTTACTGGCATTTTCCTTTGAAACCTGAATTTATTTTGGTTTTAAAATCTCCCTGGTTATACCTTCATTAACATTTGCTTACATTTTTATGTTAATTATAATTGATGCTTGACAAAGTACATATCTCTTGCTATCTGTGGGAGTTAACATTAAAACTACCCCTTCCTTGCCCCATAGACAGCAAAATGCACAGATGTTCAAGTTTTTTATGTGACTTGGTGTAGAATTTGAATATAGCCGAAGGACATCCTCTCATGCTTTAAGTCATTTCTTGGTTATTGTACAATATAAATGCTGCATGAATCCTTAGACTGTTTCTGAAGGAAAAATAACAAAAGATGATTGTTCCTCCCTAAGATGGCTACTGGAAGCTCTTGTCTTAAACTTTACCCAATCCTATAACTAGAGAACAAGCAGAAATGAGGACCTCATTATCATTTGGAGCTCCAGCAAGTTTTGGAGTAAGCTCCTATTGACTCACAGCTTGAGTCACAGCCTGGCCAGAAAAACACTACTTTTCAGAGAAATAAGTGAAAACTTGTCTTTGCCTTGGCTCATAATTTATTTGTTCATGGGATTAGTGTCTGTCCCCTTCAGACCATAAGAGAGTTTTGGTTTTCAGTAAGTGGTTATCAATTAACAGCTTTAATGAGATGTAATTCACATACCATACTCTGTAGAAGTGATTATAGGCCTTTGCCTCCACTTCCTGTTTTATGCACTGTTGGGGATCCAGGACTACATGCATACTAGGAAAGTACTCTACCAGCTGAACCCAGGGTCCAGCCAAAGACTGTTTCTGAACAGCTGTTGGCCAGATAAAAAGCATCCTTTGTTAGAAGGTCACAGAACATTTACTTTGGTTTTATTTAGAGTGTTTGCTTTGAGGCTGGGTCTTACCCAACTTGAGCTTCCTGGCCTCCTGAGTTGGTGTTCACTAGTACAAGGAGCTGCTTTGGGTTTTGCTGTTGTTGTCTTTTTTTTTTTTTTTTTTTTTTTGGAGACAGGCTTACTGTGTTTCCAGACATTCTCAAACTCCTGGGGTCAGGCAGTCCTGCTGTTTGTTTCCTAATGCCTGAGATTAAAAGTACTATCACAACACCTGGCTGTATTTTTAGTTCTGATGTGACTGAAATGAGGAAGTGAACAGTGTAGTCTACCCTTAGGACAGGCTGAATAGCCTTTATCCAGAGTACTTGAGGCAGTGTTTTGGATTTCAGATCGTTTTGGCCTTTAGATTTTCTGATTAGGAATAGTCATTCTGCAACAGTTCACTTAACTGTGTGTCAGAAGGCTATGTGAATATGACATTTTGAAAATATGTCAATGTCTGTGGTGAACTTCAGTGTTGTATGACATTGCTGATGGTAGCTTTTCATACTAAGATACACTGATTAGATCACATTCTTTCTCGGGCATTAAAAATGGAATAATATTGACAATGTATAAGTACACATTCACTCATTAGGAATTGTTTTTCCAAATTACAGAGGTTTGTGGCATTGTAATGGTAGCTCTCAGCTTCTCATGTCAAATATTTGTTTTTTCCTCAAATCAGAATACATAACCCTCCTAATTCTTGTATGTAGTCCTTGCCAACTATATATAGTGGAGTTTGTGAGATGATTCTGGTGGTTTATCTTGCTTATATAACACACTCAATTTGATTACTTTAAAATTTTCTGTTTATTGTAGGTAATACCTAGTTAAGTATGGCCCACTGATCAGCCTCATCAGATTCATCTGTGAATTAGCAATTCTGGGGTCTCATTTAATGGCTGCTGAGTCAGTCTTTAATAAGATGCCATAAGCTCTCCTCTCCCCTTTCTTCTTATACTAGTGAACTGCTCTCTGAACTCTTGCTAATTTATATCTGTGCATATTGTCTACAACGTGGATTAGAGAGACTTCTGTTTGCCCCCCCCCATGCTCATTACTGACTATATTGTAATTGTCTAAAATGAAGTATGTATTCTGAGGTTCCTGACGCAATCAAAACTATCTGTGCAGCCTTAAAGGAGGCTGACTTTGTCGTTTGGCGCCACCTGGTGATGGTAGTCTACTCAGTTTGAGGATTTGTAGACTATTGTCAATGATTCCATAAATGGCTTGTAGGTAATTTCTGCTGTTCCGTAGATTTAGATGAGGTGTGGAGAACATTGGGATTTAGGCACACACCCCTTCACTTCCTCTTCCTGAGACAACCTTTAAAACATACGTAGTGAGGAATCAATTCCTTTCGCAGAACAGGCTGACTAGAGAACAGAAATTAGTACTATATCCAAGTTCACTTAGCAGAGGGAGTCAACATTTCAATTTGGGTGTTTATTATGCCAACAGAATAAAGAATGGCAGAAGGACATTTTTCTACATATTGTCCCTTGAGTTCTGTTTCAGAGAAGAGTATATATTGAGAGAATCAGGAAAGAGTAGGAGGTTTTTAAAGTACGTGTATGTGAGCCGGGCGGTGGTGGCGCACGCCTTTAATCCCAGCACTCGGGAGGCAGAGCCAGGTGGATCTCTGTGAGTTCGAGGCCAGCCTGGGCTACCAAGTGAGTTCCAGAAAAGGCGCAAAGCTACACAGAGAAACCCTGTCTCGAAAAACCAAAAAAAAAAAAAAAAGTACGTGTATGTGAATGAAGGAAGAAAGTAATTTATGCGAGGACAATTGATACTTTGCCTAGTATACAGGAAATGCTTAAGTCGCTACTCCTTTTCATAATACAAGGAATTTTGAAAGTCATCTCATGTCTCATAATGTATTTTATCAAGTGATTTCCTTTCCATTGAAGTTTACATACTTGAGGCCTTACAAACTTTGTTCAACTGGAATCACTGCCTCCTCTCTACCTTCCTAGCCAAACTTCTCAAAAGATTTTGCTTTGTTTCACTTCCCAGGCCCTTAGCTTAGTCCTCACATCCTCATATCCCCTTTAGTAAACCCAGCAGGCCTCTTTTCAACCCCTGGTCACTCTGGGATTTAGCCAGCTTTGGAAATCACTCTTGAAAGCACTTGTCATGGCTCCTGGGGTTTCACATTTCTGGCACTAACTCCATTTTAGGCTGTTGTTCCTGGGTTTGATGTCATTTGAACTCTCATAAGGCACTGTCTTAGGTCATGTTCCTTTTTATTTTCAAATTTTGGTGAGATTCAGACTTTATTCTTACTACATTGGAAATTATGATGAAATTTGTTTTTTTAAAGGTGTGACTTTTATATGAAAATGATTATAACACGTGAAGGCACATAAGAAAAAAACACAGGCTGGCAAGATGGCTCAGAGGTTAAGAGCACTGACTGCTCTTTCAGAGGTCCTGAGTTCAATTCCCAGCAACCACATGGTGGCTCACAACCATCTATAATGAGATCTGGTGCCCTCTTCTGGCCTGCAGACATACATGCAGGCAGAATATTGTATACATAATAAAGAAATAAATCTTTAAAAAAAAAAGAAAGAAAGAAAAAAAAAAACAAATAAGAAGACAAGAGAATAGAGATCCAAGCCTGACAACCTGAGTTTGATACTTGGGATTCACATATTAAAAACTGACTCTCAACAGGTGATGGTGGCGCACGCCTTCAATCCCAGCACTCTGGAGGCAGGTGGATCTCTTGAGTTTGAAGCCAGTGGTCTGCAGAGCAAATTCCGGGACAGCTAGGGCTATACAGAGAAACCCTGCCTCAATAAATAATGAGCTAATTAATTAATGAAGTAAAGAAGAGCTGACTCCTACTAGTGGTCCTCTGACCTTCACATGTGTGATGTGGTACATGCACAGCATATACCGAGAAAATAAATCATTTTTTAAAAGACTGAGTTATTTGTTTAATGATATGTCTGCACAAAATATGTCAATTTTTGGCAGTTTTTATTAACATTTTGTTTATGAATTTAGTATATGAAAATGATGATCAGCTTCTGTGGGACCCAGAGTATTTACCAGAAGATAAAGTGATTGTATTTCTTAAGGATGCATCTAGAAGAACAGGTGATGAGAAAGGTGTAGAAGCAATTCCTGAAGGATCTCACATAAAAGACAACGAACAGGTACATTAGTAAGGAGCAACTGTTTGGGTTTTCTTCATTTCTCAGGATGGGTGCTCTGCCCACCTGAACTCCTCTGTTGTAAAGGTTGGAATTAGCACAAGACCTCCTGTTGATATGCTTACATCATTGATGCAGTTTCAGCTCCAGTAAACAGAAATCTTTACTTTACTTAGGTATACTTTTCATAGTGTTTTTAAAAGTGTTTTCTTCTGGTTCTCCCCCCCCCCCCCCCCCCCAGGGCTTATCTGTGTAGCCCTGGCTGTCCTAGAACTCACTTTGCAGACCAGGCTGGCCTCAGTTCATAGAGACTCACCTGCCTCTGCCTCCTGAGGCAGAGACCACCACTGCCTGGCCTTTTGTTTTGTTTGTTTTCTATTCTATCTCCATGAGGCTCCACATCTGTGATCAAGTTGGCACCCTCATCTCAGATAATACCATTGTGCATGTGCTCAGACTAATACCTACTATGAACCTAATACAACAGCATTTTTACAACCTTGTTTGTTGTTTTTCTTTCTCAATTTGTTTAAAATACTAGGAATTTCAGAAGGCTGCAGAGAATTACAACTTAAAACTGTTGTAACCCACTAGGTTTCTTAGTGGCTGTACCCAGTAGGACTGCATAAGAGGTTGACTGGACCACGGCCTGAGGATCAGGTGTTTGTAACGGTCTGCACTTGACTATAACTAGCAAGGGGGAGGTCTTTTTCTCCACCCCTTGGCATTGTTATAAATAGACCTTTGGAATAAAGTTCTGGGACAGTGGATAAGGATCCAGGCCCTCTCGAGTCTATCCTGTGTTTTCTCTCCCCTCTTTATTTCTAACTAAGTCTCTTCTCCCTCGTTCCTCAAGAGTCCCTGGGGTAAATAAGTGTAGGGGATGGTCTCCCACATTAAACAAAATGATATTTTATATGAGATTAATATCTCAGTTGCTGAGATACTCTGGTCACCAGGTTGTATACCTTTCCTTGTACATAGTGAGAGGCATAGAAGGTTAGGATTGAGCTCTTTTGTTTTTTCGGGATGGGGTTTCTCTGTCATTTCAGTGCCTGTCCTGGTTCTTGCTCTGTAGACAAGGCTAGCCTCAAACTCACAAGAGATCCGCCTGGTTCTGCCTCCCGAGTGCTGGCATTAAAGGCGTGCGCCACCACCACCCAGCCCCAAACTCATCTTTTTTTTCCTTGGTGCTCTGTGTGTTGCTTTCACTAAAATTGGACCAGAAAGCATAGAAATAAACAGAGGATTCAGAAAAATGTGCTCTTAAAAACGAGCATCAGGCTGAACTGTTGGTAGTCTGTCAGTCTTATGTAGAAACCTTTTATTTTTCTAGGCTTTATATGAATTGGTTAAATGCAGTTTTGATACAGAAGAAGCCTTGAGAAGATTGAGATTTAATGTCAAAGCAGCTCGAGGTAAATACATGCTAGACTTTCATTTCATAACTTGGCAGAATTTTTAACTTTAAGCTGCTCAGTTTATCTAAATATGTCTTCAGCTTAATAACTAGTCTTTCTCAATTCAGGAGGTATGTGCAGAGCACAAATGTCATTCAAATTGCTACAGGGAATGGGATTAAGATTGTTCTGTTATGCAAAAGAAGGGCATTTAAGTGAAAGCCTAAAATATATAATGCCATATAGGTTGAAAACGTATTTAAAGATTTTCTTTTTGATCTTTATTATAGTCCTATGAGCTATATCACGTAACACCTACTTCCTAACTTTAAAATTGTAAGACTGGGCTGGTTAGGTGGGTCAGTGGGGAAAGGGGTTGTCACTCAAGCCAAACAACCTAAATTTGATAGCTGGAGACCATGTAGAGGTGGAAGGAAAGAACCAGTTACCTAAAATAGTTACCTGGCCTCCCTTCACACACTGTGGTGCACATAACACATGGAAACAGACACAAATCATTATAAAGAATTATTAAATAGAATTGGGAGATTTATGTCTCTGAACCAAAGTAATGTGGCTGAGGCAGGTGTAATTTATGAGCAATAAAGCTATCGTTGAAACCTGAGTTTTCCCTTTTTTACTCTAAATTTGGCTCCTCTACTACACTGAAAGTACATGTATATCTATAGGCGTGTGTTTCTGTGTAGATTATCTGTTTATATGACGTCAGTCTGAAGGCTCTTTAGCTCTGAGCACCTCACCATATGAGTCTCAGTCCTCATGGCCTGGCAGCAGGCTGAAAAATAGTTGCTGATCTTCAGAGGAGAGTTAGAAGATATTGTTAAATAAAGCCTGTTGTAACTGGACATAATCTACTTAAGGTGAGAATTGGAAGAGAAACTTTTGAGAACAAAGTATTTTTACTAGTGAGTAAACAATTAGATTGTTGAGAGAAGATGAGGTAGGGGGCAGAACATACTTCCATGTAGAGTCCAAAGAAAGAAAGAGCTTACCGAGTTGAAGGCATGGAAAGGTGGCTCATGACAGTTAAGCTGAGAAGAACTGGGGAGAGCTGTGAGAGGTGGCCCACATAGAAGCACTACAAGTTGGAGGCCTGGCTGAAATATAGCAAGACCTTGTCTCCACAAGAAGGAACAAGTGGCCCAAATTTGAGATTGGAAAGTTATGGACCAAATCATTCCAATTTTTATTAAATTGGCAATTTTTATCACTGTGTCTTTTGCAATGGCCAATATTAACACTTAGGAGTAAGATATACTCCCTTAATTTTTTTTATCAGGAAGTTACATTTTTGCTTTCAGTTTCGTTATTGTATATTAACAGTTTGCTTTTATCCCCTCATTTTGTTAGAGGAATTATCTGTGTGGACAGAGGAAGAGTGTAGAAATTTTGAACAAGGGCTGAAGGCCTATGGAAAAGATTTTCATCTGATCCAGGCTAATAAAGTAAGTAATGATTTATTTAAAGTTTTTGTAATATTACAATCTTTTGATTTACACCTAATTAGAATAAGCATACTTAGACTGCCTGACATATTTGTCAGGTGACTTTTTTCATTATACTGTATTTAAGAATTGAATTCATTTATAAGTCTGTTAGTCAACTTCTCTGATTGTGTATGCCTAAATGTAATTACTGAAGGCTGTTTCTATTTTCTGTGACAAGAGGTTTATACATTTTTAAAATAATGTGTTTTTACTCATTCTTTGAGAATTTCGTTCACTATATTATTATCATATTCTATCCTGTCCTCTAACTTTTTCCAGATCCTACCCAATCAATTTTATGTTCTTTCCTTCTAAAGTGCACGTGGGTGCGCGCGCACAGACACATCTACATATACACAAACACAACACCCATGGAGTCGTTTGTCTTAGCTTACTGCTCCTTATTATGGGGCCTACCTCTGAGTTTGGTTAATAGAATTGGTCACTCCATTGAAGAAAACAAATTTTTCTCTTCCAGTGGCTATCAATTGCAAATACCTCTTTAAAGTAATTTTGAAATTTTAAAATATTCTTAACATCAAATTCTCATTGAGAATAATTATTTGTGTAATGCGTGTGTCACAGGACAACTCTGGAGTCAGTCTCTCCTTCCCCTTCTGAAGTCGGTCTACCCACAGGACTTTGGGATTGAACTCAGATTGTCAGACTTGGTGGCAAGCACCTTTACCTGCTGAACCATCTTATTGCCCATGATAAAAATATGTTTTGCCGGGCGGTGGTGGCGCACGCCTTTAATCCCAGCACTCGGGAGGCAGAGCCAGGCGGATCTCTGTGAGTTCGAGGCCAGCCTGGACTACCGAGTGAGTTCCAGGAAAGGCGCAAAGCTACACAGAGAGACCCTGTCTCGAAAAAAACCAAAAAAAAAAAAAAATATATTTTTTATGGTTACCTAAGTCCTAAATGATCTTAAATTTTATTCTTAAGATGATATTTTCCAGAGGTGTCTATCACCATAGACTTAACATGATGATTTGATATCCCATAAATAACAGTCATACAGTATATATCCTAAAGAACTAAATAATAACTTGCAGGTTTGAACATTTAATTCTTTCCAAGGAATTTTTATTATATTATTTATTCATGAGAGTGGGAGGGGCATATGAGAGTCACAGTGCACATACTGTAGTCAGAAGACAGTTTTGTGTAGTGGGTAATGTCAATAGCACGCACCTTTACCTGCAGAGACATCTTGCCAATCTTTGGGCTTTTGTTTTGTTTGTTTGGACATAGAGTCTCATTATCTAACTCTGTCTTGGAACAGACTTAGTCCAAGACTGTCTTGGAACTTAGTATGTAGACCAGGCTGACTTGGAACTCCCAGATCTGCCTGCCTCTGCTTCCCAAGTACTAGTATTAAGGTGTGTGCCACCACACCCGGTGGGGTTTTTTTTTACAACAGAATTCTGAAAGGATTTATAATAGTAACTCCACCATTTTATATAACAGGAAAGAAAATTAGGTGGTTTTGTGGGGAGATTATGATAAAGTTTCAGCACAAATACAGAAACTCATGAGCATTACTTTTCATGAATGTGTTGAGCTAGGCCTTATATATTTCCTTGGAGAGAATTTTTTTTTCAAATCTGATACCTTGTACAGATTGTATGTTTAAGTATTGGACATATATTTGACGCTCCAATTCATTGTTTTTTATTTTTGTTTTTTTCTATTGCTAGAATATAGTTGCTTTGTTTTGACACACTCACTATTAAATGAGAGTTACAGATCTTGTGAATTCACTGCTAATTTTACTTTGCATTTACTACTTTCTTCTTAATATAGTTGCATTTTTATAATTCACATCAAGCATTACTTATGAATTGCCCACCAGTTAAAAAGGAATGCTGCTTTTGCCAAGGACCCAGATTTGGTACCCAGCGCCAATGTTGGGTGGGTGGCTCAAAACCACCTGTAACTTTAGGTCCAGAAGAACTTACACTTCTGGCCTCTATAGGTACCTGCACTCTCATTCACACACACACACACACACACACACACACACACACACACACACACACACACACACACACACCACATAGTTAAAAATAATTATATCTTTTACAAAAGAAAAACATTGATAGTCGAAGAGAAACTTGGAGTTTGAGTGTTTAGAAAAACTTAGACAATGCAATTGGTGTCCAAAGTGAGGAGCCCAATATGTCCAAATTTGATACAGTCAGCACTCTGGGGAAAAGTTGTGTTAACTGGTGACTGACTGCATGTTCCTGAATTTGTTTTAAAACCCATTTTGCAGGTTGAAAAGTACATTTTATTTTTTCTGGTATTCCTTGTATACTGCTAACCAAACTGTTGGGTTACCTCTGGGGGCATCTCTGGAGTGTAACTGAAAGTGCAGAAGCAAAGCCCCACCAGTGTGACTTCAAAAATCTTTTAAAAACTCATTAGCTGACTTGAAACCATGAACCAAAGTTTCAGCATGTGCCTTACTAAGAAAATAACTGGCTGGGCGGCAGTGGGGCACTCCTTTAATCCCAGCACTTGTGATGCAGGCGGATCTCTGTGAGTTCGAGGCCAGCCTGGTCTACAGAGCAAGATCCAGGACAGCCAGAACTATTACACAGAGAAACCCTGTCTCGAAAACATCATCATCATCGTAATATAACTGATTTCTTTATAAATGTTGAGTGGGATCTTTTAATGCTGTTAAGAGTCATCTGGCCTATGTTCTACTTAGTTGCTCTAGTGAACAAAGGGAGGACAGTGATTCTTTGAGGGTTGAATGTGAAAATATTGAAGTTCTGTCATAGGCTCATTTCATGAAGATTCTGTATTGTGGTAATAGCATGCCCCAAGATGTCTAGGTTTTTGCGTCAGTAAATTACAGCTGACTTGAAATCATTCTTTAGGAAGCAAAACAAAAAAGAGCTTGAAAGAATTTTTTTTTAATGTATATTGATTGGCATTTTACCTGCTTGTGTGTGCCATATGTGTGCCTGTTGCCTCAGGAGGCCAGAAGAGGGCATCAGGTTCTCTGATGATTGAGAGAGAGCCACTATGTGGATGGATGCTGGAAATGGAACCTGGGACCTTGGGATACTCTAAACCACTAAATGCCATTTCTCTATTTTCTTGAAAGGACTTTTTAAAAGCCCTTACTGCTTTACAACTTTAATCAAGTTTAAGCAGAGGGGAAGAAAGGGGGGAAAAAAATCTATGTTAGGTAAGTTAAGGGTATCCTCAATAGTAGATGAAATCAATGCCGAAAATTTTTTTTTTAACATTTTGTTTCCTTCCAGAGCACTACTCCATGTGCCTTTTTCTCTTTGAAGCGCGCAGTGTTTTATTCTTTTCCATCAACTTCTCCAGCTCTCCAAGGCAGTAGCAATGAAGGAGATTTCCAGCATTTTTTGTTGATCATGGCATGTATATGCTGTTACCTTCTTGGTCCCTTAACCTCTGTCTCCTTTGCTTTTATATCCTATACATACGTGTATATACACATAAAAATTTACGTCTAGATTTTTATATAAGAGAAATTGAATTTCCCCTTCTTAGTCTGGCTTATTTTGTTTAACATAAGATCTCAGTCCATCTATTTTTTTTACAATGTCATAATTTCACTTATTCTTTTCTACAGCTAAATAAAATTGTATTGTGTATCTGCATATTTTTATATCCATTCATATGTTGGTGGGCATCTAGACTGGTTTCATTAATTGGCTGTTGTGAATACTATAGCAATAAACATGGGTAAGCAAGTTATCTCTGTGATGTGCTGACTTAGAATCCTTGGGTATATACCTCGGGATAACAGGTGGGTCCTATTATAGCTCAGTTTTTTGGTTTTATCTGGAGTCTCCATACTGATTTCCATACTAGTTTTATCAGTTTACATCCCCATCAAGAAGTGTGTAAGTGTCCTCTTTTTTACATCCTGGGGCATTTGTTTCCCTATATCCAGCCAGCATTTGTTGTCACTTGTTCTTGTTGCTTATTTTTTGTGAAGAGCCTTTCTGACTTGAGTAAGATAGAGATTAAAAGCAGTTTTAGTGTGTATTTCCTTGAAAGCTAAGGCTCCTGAATACTTGGTATTTATTGGCCATTTTAGAATTCATTATATATTCTAAATAATTAATCCACTTCAGATAAATAGATGGCAAAAGTTTTCTGCATTTTGTAGGTGGTTTCTTTACTCTGCTGATAGTTTCATTTGAGCGCGGCAGCTTTTAATTTCAAGCAATCCTCTTTGTCAATTCTTCAGCTTGTTTCTTGTGTTGGTAGAGTCCTTTTTAGAAGGGCTTCACCTGCACCTATAATGTCAAAAGTTACCTGTGGTTTTTTACCTCTGGCATTTCAGAGGTTCAGATTTTATATTAAGGTCTTTGATTCATTTTGAATTGATTTTTCTACAAGGTTCGAGGTTCAGATTTGATTTCATGCTTCATTGTGGGAAATCATTTATAAGAGAATTTAAGGCTGGGCGGCGGCGGTGGCAGCGCACACCTTTAATCCCAGCACTCGGGAGGCAGAGCCAGGCGGATCTCTGTGAGTTCGAGGCCAGCCTGGTCTACAAAGTGAGTTCCAGGAAAGGTGCAAAGCTACACAGAGAAACCCTGTCTCAAAAAAAAAAAAAAGAGAGAGAGCGAGAGAGATATTTAAATGTAGATTCCCTTGATAATCTGTGAGTAAAAGCATTTGTTCTTTGTATTCATTTTAACCTAATTGTCACTCTTATTTGCGTTAGAGGAATACTTGTTTTATTGTAAAATATTGGAGTGGAGCTCTCTTTGAATTTAAAATAGAATGCTAACTATCTTATATAGTTATTGAAGTATTATTTTTCTCAATGGATTTAGAAAGGTTTTCAGCACAGTTGCTGTTGTTTGTATTTCATACATAATATGTTTGATTGTCATGTATATTAACTAAAGAGTAGCTTTTTTTTTTTCCAGTCTGTCTTAGTGTTTCTATTGCTGTGGTAAAACACTGTGGTTTATTTGGCTTATACTTTCACATTACAGTACCTTATTGTCATTGAAGGAAGTTTGAGGTAGAAATTAGAGGCAGGAACTGCAGCAGAAACCATAAAGGAACACTGCTTACTGTATTGTTCCTCAGTGCTTGCCCCATTTGCTTTCTTATACAACTCGGAACCCCCTGCCCAGGGTTGGCACCACCCATCTCAATCAAGAAAATGGTCCACAGACTTGCCGGTAGACCAGTCTTATGGAGGCATTTTCTTAGTTGAGTCCCTCTTCCCAGTGACTTGTTTCAAGTTGACGTAAAACTATCCAACACAGACTTGAGAGGTTTTTTGAAGTGGCACTGTTAGGATACTATTCTTAAAAACAAGCCTTTGTTTCTTACAGGTCCGAACAAGATCAGTTGGTGAATGTGTAGCATTCTATTACATGTGGAAAAAGTCTGAGCGTTATGATTTCTTTGCTCAGCAAACAAGATTTGGAAAAAAGAAATATAATCTTCATCCTGGTGTAACGTGAGTTGTTTTCTAAGCTTTCTTGGATTTTTCTTTAAAGAATTTTGAATTTCGTAGTCCTTCAAAATACAGTTTCTGTTAGTTTCAAAACTTATTGTCTCTTGACATGTAAGGCATGCAGACTTTATTGTCTTTAAAAAGCCATTATACATGTTAAGACAACAAGCATTAAACCAAGATTTAGAGTGCAGATTTTCATTAGATATCTTAAAATTGAAAAGGACAGTGTTAATATTTAATTTAATTTAATTTATTTATTTTTGAAGCAAAATCTTGCTGGCCTCATTCTTACCAATTTTGTCAACCTTCCAAGTGCCAGGATTGTATATGTGCATCACCACCACCACATCTGGCTTTAGTTTTAACCTTCGAAAATAGTAAAAATAGGACCAAGACAAACTTCTAAAATCTGTTGGGCTATATAACCTGTAGAGGGCCATAAAAAAGGTAGGGAAGTTAAATTTTCCCTGTGCAGTCTCTTTTGATCTTTGGAACTAAAACAAGATTTGAATGTAGATAATTGTCAGGTTAAATTATATTCTTGTTTGTTAGACATAACTTTTCCTTGCTGTCCCGAATCTTCTAGGACATATTACAGAAGTAATGCATAATAATAGTAATGTACCTCTAACATTCTGATTGACAGTCATGGTAGCTGTAATCACACTGTGCATGTGTCTTACCTGCCTAAATACAATCCTGACATGTGAAGTTCTTTTAGCTTCATTCAAGCTGTGAGTAGTTGAGGTCAGTGTGCACTAGTACAGATGTCCTCAAGCTACTTTACAATGATGTGCTTGTTACGTATATTGAATTATATTTTTCCAAACTCCTAGGCCATAGTGTTTCTTTGTTATGTTTATTTATACCTAGATGTCTGTATTGAGTACTTCCTCAGACCAGGCATTCTAGAGCCCAAAGCAAAATAAACTAAAAAAGTATAAATGAGGGCTGGGGTTAAAACTTAGTGTTAGAGTGCTTACCTAGTCTTTTGAAGGCCCTGGGTTCATCTCCAACACCACTCCCAAGCAAGGGAATAAATGAGTGTGATCCACCTTTGTCAAAAGACAGTGAGCTCCTTACCTCTCCTGTTCTCCACTTACTCAGAATTGGTGATCATTAGAATGGAATTTCATATAAAGGAGCATTATAAACTTTATCACTGCTTGATAAGCAGTTAAAAATAATTTAATGAATTTAATTTGATAGCTTAATTCATAACTTTTAAGTACTTACTAAATTTATTTTTTCTGGATTCAAGCTCTAAGATGTAGGACTAGATGTATCCCTCCCTCCTTTCCCTATTTCAGAAACAACGTTTAGATGTGATGAAGGTGTCATCATTAGCATAAACAGACATACCATGTGCTGTGCTAGGTCAGACTCCTGGCTCATCCATTTCTTTTTCAGATTGCCTTAGCAGAGGAATGTGCTAAGGGCTTGGCTTAGTTGGCTCTGTGATGTCCAGTGCAGTAGAGTAGACAGGGGTGGACCACCAATCATTTTAGGTTCTCTGATAGTCTCTTACAGTTTCTGAAAACTTTTTGAAGGTATTTAACATCTTAATTTCTCCTAAGATTAAGTTTTCTGTAGGTGGACAGACCACAATTAAAGTAACCCACACTTTGTTTTTTCTAAGGTATGCGTTAATACCTGTCTTGTGTCAGAATGGAATGAAGTCACAGATGTGTGTGGTTTTCCCCTGGGGCACAATCACCGTGCTTTTGTGGAATGTACTTTTACTCCTTTGTGCTTCTCTGAACTTTGTCTGTCTGCCTGTCTGCCTTTTTTTCCTAAAAGAACTACAGCATTTTCTTTGCAGGTGTAGTATACTTTCTATAAAAAGCAGTGACCAGCTAGGTGTGGAATCTCACACCTGTAATCTCAGCATTCAGAAAGCTGAGATGGGAGGATTTCCATGAGTTCGAATCTAGTCTGGGCTGTCAGTATCAGGTCAGGTGAGGCTACATAGCAAGACACTATCTTACAAAATAAATTGTAAAAATTGAAAAGAAGTAATGACCAGACTACGTTATTATTCATGTGGTGAGAAATTGTGATTTTCTGTAAGAACTATTTCTGACCTGCTTGCATTTTCTGCTAATGGTTCTATCTTAAAGTGGTTGTATAAGACATATGTAATGCCTTAGAGCAGTGGTTCCCAGCCTTCCTAGTGCTTCCACCTTCTAATACAGTTCCTCATGTTGTAGTGACTGCAAACATAAAATTATTTTCATTGCTACTTCATAACTGTCATTTTGCTACTGTTAGGAATCATAATGTAAATATCTGTCTTTTTTAATGGTCTTAGACAACCCTTGTGAAAGGATTGTTTAACACCCACCCTCCCCAGGGGTCACAGCCTACAGGTTGAGAACCACTGCTTTAAGAAACACTTGTGAATTTCTTTCCCCTTGTTTTTAAGTTCATGTTAGACTAAGTGCCTTATCTTAAGAGTCCTTGTTAAGTTTTTCAGTTTTGTTACTTCCCTTATTACCAGATTGAAGTGCATTTGCCCTTCCTGCCACAGCCTCTGAGAGCTCCACTACAGTTGACCCCTAGTTACCACCTGGAGGGATTAAGAGCCACATTCAAATTGGAGCTTTTGCTATTCCAAATAATTCTTAAAAGTCCAGTTACCTGAACTTGAGCACTCTTAGCTTTCTGACTTGTTCTACCTGACTTCCTTTCTAAGCATTTAGGATTACATTAATACAAAGATGGTGGTTATTGTTTTTTTCACAGTATCGTTGCCATGTTCAAAAATTGTACATAATTTTGATGTCTTTTCATCTAGCTTTCTTTTGAATGGCTTTTTAACATCCTCCAATATTCATTCCCTCTAAGTTTTGTTTATTTCTAGTAATTCCTTCTCATGTAGTTAGTGCCTATTCTTTTTGCCTTAGCTTCTCAAAGGGTTGATAGTCATCTTAACTGTTCCTATTAATGTGTGTTTCAGATTGGTTCTTTGGTTGATTTTTTAATGACAGTGTAGAGCACAGAGCTGGAACATTGTAAAAGCCATTACATATATAATGTTAAGAATGTTGCGTTGATCAGTTTCTGCTTACAATATGTTTCTGTGATACATGTTTGTTTTGTGTGTGCACCAAACAACAACCTCTTGGGTGTTGTTTTTCAGGAAGTACCCATCAAGTTTTTTTAGACAGGGTCTGGGTCTTTCCTTGGAACCAAAGTGTAGCTGGAGAATTTCTCTGCAGCTCCCGCCAAACCCCGCCAGTCCCAGAGCCCACTTACAAAATAAACACACAGAGACTTATATTGCTTACAAACTGTATAGCTGTGGCAGGCTTCTTGGTAACTGTTCTTATATCTTAAATTAATCCATTTCTACAAATCTATACCTTGCCACTTGGCTCGTGGCTTACCGGCATCTTCACATGCAGTTTGTCATGGCGGTGGCTGGCAGTGTCTCTCCCACTCAGCCTTTCACTTCCCAGAATTCTCCTCTCTCCTTGTCCCGCCTATTCTTCCTGCCTGGCCACTGGCCAATCAGTGTTTTATTTATACAGAACGATATCCACAGCACCCAAGGCTTGCCCTGACTGTCTGGCTTGGCTAGTGAGCTGCAGGTATCCAACATCTCTACTATCCAGTCCTGGAGTTACAGGTGTATGACCATGTTCCAGTTGGACTTTACAAAAACAGCAGCCAACCCACAGGCCACAGTCTGCCACTTTCATGTGTAATACAATAACTATGTGTGTAAATATGACACATGGGACTTATCTGTATTTCATTTTTTAAAATAACCCTCAGACAAGTATTTAGCCCTTTTTTTCTAACCTCAGCCCAGTGTCAGTGATCCTCAACTATAGTTCAGGAAGTAGTAATGAAGTTATAAATAAGCCTGTCTGCAACAAGGTACTGATAGGTGACCAGCAAATATGCCCAGGACTTAACCCATTATGGTACAGATCTGGCAGAAAACTGATCTGTATGGTGGCTGTCAGGGATCATCCTTTGTGTTAGGTCTCAGTTGCACCTTCAGGTGTTGCCTTCAGGAATCTGAAAACTAGTCTGCATCTGTTCAGAAATCACCCTGTACCCCCAATGACATCATCCTCACCTCTTTACATACACACACTCCAGCTTCAGTTGAGCACTTTTGAGCCTTTCTGTGCACAGTTTAAAGTCTTTACATTTTCCTTTGTGTAGCACCTTCATACATCTCCCTTCAAATACATAGCCAAAAGAAGCTTCCGAAGTCGGTGTTTGGATCCTGGTACAATCAGGACGTTATGTGTTGACAGTGGAATATATATTTAACTCAACTAATTTTAATATTCACCATTTTATTTAAGGAAATAATTGTATTATTTAACTTAATCTTAAGGGATTACATGGATCGTCTTTTGGATGAGAGTGAAAGTGCTGCTTCAAGCCGAGCACCATCCCCTCCCCCTACTGCATCAAATAGTAGTAACAGCCAGTCGGAGAAAGAAGATGGCACTATCAGCAATAGTAATCAAAATGGTAAGCAACCAGGAAATACACCTAGTTCTTCATAGTGACGGACACATAGAATGGCTCAAGGGAATTTACTTTAAACTCTAGAGTCTGAAAATATAAACATGAAAGATCAGCACACATACATCCAAACACACTCCGTAGAGTAATTGGACAGAGTTCTTAGTGACATCATAAACTGAAATCTATGAAGCAAGCTACACAGGGATCGTTACTTTCAGTAAATTTGTGTTTGGTAGCATCTCCTTACCTGAGTGGGATAATGCCTAGATATGAGTACTGCTTTAACTTTTAGACAAATCCAGGCATCAGAAACACATTTATTTTTCAAATAGTTTGAGAACTTGTAACATGAACTATAATCATAAAGACAAAAAGTAGATTAATAAATGAATTTTAAATATTTGACTTTGCATAATGCCCTTGAAAAGTGAGCACATGTAAAGCAGCTCTCAGCCTGGGCTTGGGTGTTCTGCAGAACCATTTACACACACACACACACACACACACACACACACACACACACGAAAGCATTCTTCATTCAGAGTATATGAAGGACCATCTGTAAGAGCTGTTCCAAGAATTATTTTGATTTCTACTTTAATTGTCCCTAGTAAGAAGAATATTATTTAGCAGAAAATAGCAAGCATTTTTCTACAGCATCCTTGTGGGGAAGAAACTGGAGTTAAAAGCTTTCAAACTGGGGAGAGCCATGGAGAACGTACTAGAGAAAATGCCAAAGCTTTGACCTCAAACTCTCACTACAGTTGCATACTTATTACTTAGTTCATTTCATGGTCCTTTTCTATACTTCTCCCTTGAAGAATAAGCTGGCCAGACAGGATGTGGGTCTCAGCAGCCATGCATGGGTCTGAGACTGTTTGTTAGACTGCTGTTCTGCAGTCAGCTGCCCTTTCCTTTATAGAGATTTGAGGTGCAGTTTGACTGGAACATGGACCTGAGGGAGGTGCTCAGGGAGTTGAGAATGTCAGTCCTTTTGTCTGTTTTTAACATCTTACGAAGCAACCCTTTCTTCTATGAGAAAGCACTATTAGGGTAAGATAATTTTTACAAATGACCTAGAAAATGCTGTTTAGCTCAGAAGAAATACAATAGAGATTTTCAGGTTTTCCAAAGAAAGGCTAGAACTTTTTAATCTTAATTTTTATATATATATTTTTTAATTTTTTATCTTTATTTCTTGTGGGACGCCAGCTGCCACCTTTTAAAAGGGTTCCTATGAGGAGGAGAGAGGATAAGAAATATCAAATAGAAAGATAGCGAAGAGCAGAAAGACAAACACAGAATAGCTTCAGGAGGACGTGGGTCAACACCCAGCACACTTCCGCCTCTTCAAAAGGGCTTTTAAAACAATGCCAAGGGGCAGAGCAAAAGACCTCCCCCTTGCTAGCTCAAAGCACACTGCACAGCCAAGTGTAGACCCTTCCAAACACCTAGTAACCACACCTGTGGTCAAATCATCCCCTTATTCAGCCCTGCTGGGTAAAGCAAGCTCAGATTCTCTGACCCTGAGTAAATTCTCACTAGGAAACCTCTCTGGGTCTCTACAGTTTCTTTTATATAAAGGACTTTAAACTAATGCACTGAAATAATGTTAGTTATTTTTTACTTGATCAGTTTAACTTAGCTTTTTGGACAGGCTAGTACAGAATTCTTTAATGTTATATGATACATAGTTCTTGTATGCGTTCAAGATTTGGATACATATTGAACTGAGAAAAATTATTTTCTTTGACCAAAATATAATCTTTGAGACCCATCCTTTATGTTGAATATTTTTCACATAATTAAGATTTCATTATCTCCAGTGATGTGTGCCGAGTGGGCTTTGTATTACTAAAATTTGTGTTCCATTTTGTAGTCAGCTCTTGATCTTTCTGCTACTTGCTTTAATTAGAATAATTTTACTTTTCCTGCCTGTTGTGGAAGAATAGGGACTTGCTACATGCAATCCAGAAAGATCTCAGACTCTCCATGTTTCAGATCCTATCTCTTGTGGGAACAATGTCAGTCAGTATGTTCCTACATAGTAATACTTGGGATTCTTCTTTGAATATTTTTTTTCATTTAATGTATGTGTGTGCTTTGTATGCATATATATCTATGTACCATGTGTATGAGAACTGAGGAAACTGGGAGAGGGTGTTAGATCCCGGAAAGTAGAGTTACAGGTTGTGAGCCTCCATGTGGATTCTGGGACCTGAACCCGGCTCCTCCTCTTAGTGCACCAAGCATTCTCAACCACCAAGCCATCTCTGCAGCCCCCTAGGATGCTGTTACTATATGTCTGATTCTGTTCTTTGCCTTAAAATCCATTGCTTAAGTTTATCTTCACAATGACTGTGTAACATGCACTTGCTTTGGGTCTCGTGGTGTGTAAGGAAACTGATGGGTAGCCTGCGAAGACTTGGCTAGGTATCACCTGCTAAGCAGTAGAGCCACACTTCACACCATGAGTATGTTCAGATTTGGTGCTTTCCTTGTTCCTCAGTGAGAACTCCTGTTGTAGCAGCTATTTTAGAATAGTTGATGAGTTTAGCTTTTTTCATTAAGTGTCATTTATCTTTCTCCAAATGTAGGTGTGTCATCTAATGGACCAGGAGAAATACTAAACAAAGAAGAAGTAAAAGTTGAAGGCTTACATGTTAATGGACCAACAGGTGGAAATAAGAAACCACTTCATACCGATATAGACACTAATGGTTATGAAGCAGATAACCTGACCACTGACCCAAAACTTGCCCATATGACTGCAAGAAATGAAAATGATTGTGATGAAAAAAATGAGAGGCCTGCCAAAAGGCGACGGGTGAACAGCAGTGGGAAAGAGAGTCCGGGTTCGTCTGAGTTCTTCCAGGAGGCAGTCTCGCATGGAAAGTTTGAGGAACATGAAAACACAAACGACTAAGTCCTAGACCTGTGTTACTTTCTTTGCAGTAAATTCTGGTGTGACTACAATTTTCAGGGTTGGTGGGTGACCTTTAGAAAGCTGATTCCTTGAAGTAGTTGGTTCAATCTTGGTGTTTGAATTGAGTCCTCACGTTAAGAAATGGGATTCATAGTTCCACCTTTTGCAAGTTCTTTTACTTCAAATTGTTGAAGACCTCTTTAAGGATACAAAAACATTGGTAAATTTGAATGACCCAAAGACTTACCTGTACCTTCTCATTTGAGATACTAATCATAAATTTGACTAAAAGGTAATTTTTCCTTATTTTTAAGAGGAAGAATAGTCGGGGAGGGGGGGGAACAAGTTTGGGTTTCTGCTCAGTACCAATTTTTTGATTATCTAGAAATGTCTTTACAACAGTCATTTTTCTCTCCTTACAAACTGAACTAAGGAAACCCTCATGAATCCTGAAGGTTATGCTAGCATGATTTTTATATGTAGAAGTTAAAATAAACCAAGTCAGGTTTGTATTTGTAAAATTGTTGACATCAATGATGTCTTTCCATATTCTTATCTGGGCTTAAGAAATACATTCTGTATTTTTCCAGATTCTTTGTAGCCTTTGAAAGATTTTTACAGTACATATGTCTTGACTGAGCTGTCCTTTCTTAATACAAAAGCTTGTATAATTTTCTTAACTTGTACAGTTGGTAAACTTTTATGAGAGGAACTGATATTCTGAGTCTGTCAGCTTTCATTTTATTTTGCTAAGATTTTTCTAATGAATTTTTAAGTGTGTGTAGTTAACCAAGTCATGTTTCTTATCCAGGTGGTAAAAAGCATTCATAAAGAATTATAAACATATTTTTTTTCAAACTTCTACCTATGGACAAATAATTTGGGGCCTCTGGAGTTCAGCATGATACTCAGACTGCAAGCTTGTGTGCATTTGCTATAATTTTCCAAATTATTTTTGAAGCAAAACAAAGACTTACTGTTAGCTTAAATGCGTAAATGTATTGTGCTGAATAGAATCCTGTTCTGTTACTCTCGTGCACTATAAGATTTTCCATTGTTTTCATTAAGTCAACAGAAAGGAAAGGCCAGGTGATTTTGAAATATTGTCACATCTATAATAACTATTGACAGGTAGCAATATTGATTTTTATGAGAAAATAATGGTTTTAAGAATTTTCAGACCTTTCCAGTTACAATCCAGTTTGTCAGATTTGATACTGTTTTTCCAAAATGAAACAGATACAAAATTATCCTTGTTCTGTGTGGTTTTTTAAAAGGATTATCTGTGTGCACTAGCCTTGTAAGGATGGGTGGTGCCATTTTATTTTCAGTCTAAAAGTCTTCTTATAAAATGTAGTTTTATACAGCTGATAGACCAATCTATCTCCAAACTTTTTTTATTAAAGGATTATTAGCTATCTTTTTCTCCCACAGACATATCCCCAAATGCTGCTTTCAGTTTGTTCCCAGCCCTCAGTTTAAGAGCCAATGCTTTAAAGACAGATATGTAGTCCCTTTACTGGGTCAGTTGTCTGATGCAGCTTGGGTAAAGGTTTGCACTGAGAATGACCGTCCAGGCCTCATCCCTCAGAGTGTTCTTACGTTGGTCCAGACTGCTTCCCTTAACCAATGGGAATAGCTTTTTCTTTTCCCCAATCAGTATTGGAAGCCACTTTGACAACACATCCTATAATATACATATACTGTTTTTGCATAAATACCCAGTAAATCAGTTTCAGATGGAAGTACTGAGAAGCATGAGGGGGTTTTGTTTGTTTGTTTCTTTGTTTCTTTGTTTTACTGAGAAAAAATTAATTTATCCAGAATGGCAGTAGGTCAGGTAGCTTTAGCAAATAGCCATGGCCCCTGTCTCCCTACCCACCCCACCCATATCTCCCCCCCCCCCCTCGCTTCTCTCTCCCCTCTCTCTCCTCTCCCCCCCCCCCCTTCTTTTCCTTTCTTTTTTAAGACAGAGTCTCACTGTGTAGCCCAGGCTGGCCTGGAACTTACAATTCTTCTATCTCAGCCCCCTGATACTGAGGTTGGAGGTATTTCCCACCACACTCAGCTATAGTCTTATTTTCTAAAGCATATTTTATTAAATGAATCCAGGCCATCCTAGCTCTTTGTCACAGATGGTCTAAAAAAATGTTTTAAAAGAACAGTGATGTCGTGCTTCTCAATCATTGCAATATTGGAGGTGTCATGTCCACCTTTTTAAAGATCCATCTGGTGTGCAAGTTTGTGGAGTTCTTGAAACTTGTTACAGGAACATTTTAAGGAAATTCTCAGGCATGATGGCAAGTGTGCCAGATGTATAAATGTTAATAAACCTTAGTTTTCTTTTTAAAGTATGCATAATGAAAGACATTCCACTAATACGTGATGCTCAGCTTTTCCCAAATACTTTATTGTGTTCTGTGTTTCTACAGGGATTTTACCCTTGGTTCTTCAATGCAACCACTGTAACTTGAGAAGTCATTGCACTATTTAAACATCTTGACAATATCATGAATCTAATTTGCTTAAGATTTAGTACTTTTCATAACTCTTGAGCTCTTAATTAGTTGAGATGAGAAAAGAAGCCTTTCATTATGGGCAGGGGATGTAGCTCAGTTGGTTGAATGCTTGCACCAGCATGCGTGAAGCCCTGGGTTCCATCCCCAGTACCACATAAACTAGGTGTGGTGGTGCACACCGATAATCTCAGCACTTGGGAGGTGGAGGCGGGAGAGTCAGAAGTTCAAGGCCATCCTCAAGTACACAGTGAGTTTGAGGTCAGCCTGGGATACCTGAGACACTGTCTCAAAAAGAAAAGTTTTTGTTGGTAGTTATGTAGGTCCTAGCAAAGCACTGTCATTTTCATTTGGAATATATAATGTTTTATGATGTATTCTCAATAAGGTTCAAAATCTGTAACTCAGTTCAACAAAATCTGTTGAGCTTTAAAATGTATTTGAAGTAATATTTAAGTAGGCATTCAAAATTATGAATTAGATGTTTTTAAATTTCTGCATAATAATTTTGCACTGTAAAATATGTCCCTTCTCCCATTTCCTTCTGCCATTCTGATATGCTCATTAAAATATTTTTGTAAACATACTTGTGTGATGTGATATAGATTTTTTGTTCAGTTTCACTCTTTTTATATCAGTTATTAATCTCTATGGTTTAGGGTACACACAGTGCAGGTGTGTAACATCCCTGTTGCCTCCACGCCCAGCACAGTGCACCGAACAGTTTTTAGTGGCTCTTGGTTTTAGGTACCTGACGCTGGATGATTATTTTCTGCCTCTCTTTAGGCTTCTTTTTTTATAGACAGTGTCTGGTTTGTTTTTTTTGTGGACAGGGTCTATCTATTATGTAGCCCTGACTGTCCTGGAAAAATCTATGTAGATAAGCCTGGCTTCAAACCTGGAGATCTCCCTGCCTCTGCCTCCCAAGCATTGGGATCAAGGCTGTGCGCCCAGCCTACTTAGACATGTATCCCAAACTGACTTTGGTCTTCTGTCTGAAGTGATGGAATTTAAAATGAGTACCACTGTACCTAGAAAGGGGGTATACTTTTGTCTTTTATTCTCCCCAGACAGGCTTTACTCCGAAGACCTCCATTACCCTCTTTTTTCTCTGAACTATATAATTAAAAATACTTAGTTCCTCTCTTTTTCAATGAAGTTCATATCACACTTTTTGCAAGATTTGTTTTGTCACAATACTTACTTTTCTATGGGCAAGTAATCTAGGGTGGCACTTGGAATACCTGAGTGTTGGTTCACTTTCATAGCCAACAGTCTAAGTGTACTGGCTAGCATACCCATGTGTGTAACTGACAGTCATCAGTATCAGCCAGATATGCTTTCCCAATGTCATTTATAGTCATTGAAATGGCATTGTCAGAATCTACAGCACATGGGAAGAGTGACTTCAGATTTTAATCTTGATTTTTATTTTTAACTGAATGATTTCTTTCTCTCTTTATGTCTCATAATTCTGGTTCCTTGGAAAAATCTACCATAAAAATCCAGGGTTCTTCAAAATCTTATACAGGATGGTCTACCCAAGTTAACCTGATTTCATGTATTTTATTATCTGAATTGACTTCTTCCTACCTCACCCCCAGTGTAGGATGTATAATAGGATGTATTTTTTTTTAATAAATAATTTGAACAGATTCAAAGGCTACCTGTTAGAACCTGTTAGTTCTAGCTCCTGGGAGGTAGAAGCCAAGGGATTGGATCAAAGTTCAAGGTCTTTGCCTGCCTACACAGCAATTATGAGGTCAGCTTGGGCTAAATGAGACACTGTTAAATTCTATATATATACATATGTATGTACACACAGTCTGGTGCAGAACATTGGAGCTGTGCAAATTTGAACCATATTCCAATTTTCCTCCATCTAAACTGATGAGGCTGTTTTTTCAGAGGACCCTAGGTTTGGTTCTCAGCACCCACATGGTGACTCAAAATATAACTCTAGGACCAAGGGATCTGGCAGTCTCTTCTCAATTCTTTGAGCACTGTAGGTAAATGATACATAGATATGCATGCAGGTGAAACACCCATACACAAAATTTTAAGAACTGGCTAATTTTTGTTATATTCCCATATATCCTCCAAATCCAGCAAATGTTTGGGTCTGGTGCCAGGCACTAAGCTTCTGGCTTCAGAAACTCTCATGTCTTACAGACAAGTGATAGGGTCAAAATAAGCACTCTAGGAACAGCAGGGGTGAAGTTGAGAAATTGAGTTTACCCACAACTTTGCCGAAGAACTCTAATGTGATTGGACTTTATTTGAACCATGTTCTGAATAATGACAGATTTTTTTTATTAATTATGAAAGATTGGTGTTAGCTTAGTCTTGTTCCCAACTAGCTCTTAAAACTTAACCCATTTGTATTAGTCTACATTCTGCCACATACTGTATGTCTGACTTCCTCTGGTTCTTGTGAAATCCTGCCTCTCTAATTCCTTCCCAGAATTCCTATCTGCCAGGAAGTCCCACCCATCCTCTCCTGTATAGCTATTGACCATTCAGCTCTTTATTAAACCAATCAGAAAGCGCCTCAGCAGAGACACATCTTCAGTGTACAAAAAGATTCTCCTACAACACTCTAGCTAAAATGTGTTTTCTTCAATTTAAGATGTGTTAGAAACTGACCAATGTGAAATAAGTGTTTGGTTGCTCTACTCCTTTTGTTTGTTTTGGGTTTTGAGACAGTTTCTCTGTGAGCCCAGCTGTCCTAGACCTTGTTCTCTAGACCAGGCTGGCCTGGAACTTAAAAGAGATCCACCTGCCTCTGCCTCCCGAGTGCTGAGATTAGAGGCGCGGGCCATCACCACCCAGAACCATTCACTTTTAGTACCTACTACAGAGCGGGTTGTATTGAACAGCTGTGTATAGTTCAGTGCTGTCTGGTGAACAGTGTGTGCAGAGGACCACTCAGTGTGGCCTAATGGAGGTCTGGTCTGGTGGTTAAACATAACGGTTTTCTCATCCTTGTTTACATTGGTTGGCTAAATCGACTCAATATGTTCTGGACACTGAAAGGTAGTTTGCAGTGGAGTTCGGGTAATTCCAAGAGAAGGGATTTTTGTGCCTCCTTTTGAAAGCAGGTGGACTTTGAAGTACCTTGAGGACTGTATGGTTAGCTTTGGAAGGAGGGGATTCTGGGCCCTGACTTGAACAGCTTCAGATTCTAAGAAACAGGGACTGGACTTATTCCAGAAACTTGACAGTATCTTTGTCTTCCCCTTGGGTCAAAGGGGAAGATAAACATGAGTGCTAGTCATTCCGAGTGTGCCCTTTTAAATTTGTTTTAATAGCTCACTAATCCCCTCTGAACACATAGATTGTAGGTGGTGGGGATTTACTGGGGTGGCTAATGCTCCCTGATTTCCAACCTCTTGAACTGGGAGTTTGATGTTTGCGGTGTGGTATCCACTCCATTGCCTACATTGACTTGCGGTGTTAAAAGATGGCTGCGAGCAGTTTAGAAAACAGACTGTAAATGTGCTTGGGCTATGTCTGCAAAGTTTCTAACGGGTGCGCAGATGCCGAGCACAGTGAAACAGCTCGATTCTGTCGGAATTGCCTGTGAGTGAAAAGAGCTGGAGACACGGGTTTTACAGAAGTGTTTTGAAAGCCTTTCCTCAAATGGCTCCCAGTTAGGATCATGGCACCCTGGTATTTGTGTGCTCCCATGACTAAATATTCTGCCTAGACCTGCAGGAGGTGTGGTGAGGAGAAACATTTAATAGGAGATGAAGTGAATGTCACCATAGCCCCAGTCATAGGCTCAACAGAGGGTCTGAATCCATTTGTGGCTTCAACACAGAGAAATAGTATTCCAGTGGCAATGTCCTTTTCTTTCTGAGATACAGTTTTTTGTTGAGAAGTGACTCACCTGTCGCTAGAACCTGGGGCCGTGCTTCTGAGCCACCAGGGTCGGCTGGTATCCATGGAGCGGACAGAGAAAGCAAAACCAACGTTATTTCAAACAGTCCTCAGAGAAAAACCACTCCAAGCTTGGCCTTGTATTCCTTTATCTTTAACCATACTGCATACTTTATTTCTGTTCATACGAGGGAATAGTCACATTTTATTTAGAATCCTAGCCCAAAGACAGCTGTTTTTATAACACTGTTCTTTTTTTCAGCCAAATTCAGCCATGTTTCAAGGTATCTCTTGATCTGGACACTGGTAATCTTGTGATAAGGAGAGCCCTAAGCTGGCTCCAGGTAAAATAAGGATGGTTTGTATGGGACTGGTGTCACAGGGCTGCAAGCTCACTGCTGTTGCTAAGGCCCTTAGGCAGACCCAGGTTGGCTCTCAGAAAGTATCTTTTTACTGGTTTGGGCCAGCTGGCCCTCAAGCCTGTTAGGGATGAGTCTTCCCACAACTGGATATAGACCAATCTTACCTAAAACACCTCCAGCCAGCATTCCAGAGAGGAAGAAGGTATTTTTCAGAGTATTGGGAGCACATTTGTAAAAATAGAACCTACAGTCAAAACACGTAGGTCCACATTAAATTGCACCATAGTTAATACATTTCAGGCTAGATTCAGAGCCCTGTGGGTTTCAGAATTAGGGATTTGTAGTTAACTCCAAATTTTTGCTAGCTTTCACCTGGAAAGTAAGAAAGGCAAATGAAAACATCTAGCTGATAGCATTGACATGCACTCTCTGGCCCTTCTATACTTCGAAGAAAGCCAAAATGTAAGCACTGGGCAAGGAGAGCCTGCCATGGTCCAGAGGAGACCCCCTAGATCAGTGGTTCTCAACCTTCATAATGCTGTGACCCTTGAGTAAAGTTTTCACATGACCCCCAACCATAAAATTACTTTGTTGCTCCTTCATAACTAATTTTGCTACTGTTATGAATAGTAATGTAAATATCTGATATGCAGGATATCTGATATACTACTCCAAAGGAGTCACAACCCATACATTGAGTACCAGTATCCTACAGCCTTATATGCAGCCCTGTCCTTTTTGTTTGTTTGTTTGTGGTTTTTTTTTCCTTTTTTGTTTTTTTTTAATTTTTTATTTTTATTTTGCAATACAATTCAGTTCTACATATCAGCCACAGATTCCCTTGTTCTCCCCCCTCCGGCCCCCCTCACCTTCCCCCCAGCCCACCCCCTATTCCCACCTCCTCCAGGGCAAAGCCTCCTGTTTGAAACCTGGGGCCTATGCAGGATCACTTGGCTCAGCCTGGGAGGAGGGGACTGGACCTACCTGGACTGAGTCTACCAGGTTGATCTCAGTCCGCGGGGGAGCCCTGTTCTTTTATAGAAAGGACCTTGTCTAGGGCTCTGCAGCCTTATACCATGCAGCTTAGGGCTGGACCCCTCTGTCCTTTTCCTTCACAACACTTAATAGTTTATATGGGTTCATGACAGGACTGGTCAACCTCCAAGGCCAGAGTCTCGGGTTTCTGTTAGTTATCCTTTGGCCAGTTGCAGTTCTGGGTATGCAGGTTAATCTTCATAGGGTGGTGACTTCCTTCTGAGTCCTTTGGCTTACAAGATTAAGAAAAGCCAATTCCCCAAAGAAACAGTGCTGATCATGACAAGGATCGCCAGTAGACAAGCCT